AAGATGTCAGCGATAAACAAGAAAAATGCTGTGAAGAAGAAGCATCACCATCGCACGGGGTCAGGTGGCTACCTCAAAGCCCGACCTTTATGGGACAAGGCTGAGAATGACCTGATTGCTAAAGGGGTCGAACCAGAGACATTGAACTGGCCAGACCGTTGCCGGACTTGGTTCTTCGGGGTTGGCGAAACCTTGGACCCTGTAACAGGAAAGTGCGTTTAGGCGGAAGAGCAACTGCGAATACCGTCACAAGGCTTCAGGAGTATATCGAGAAAGCGCAGCAAGGGACGTTCGTCCCAGACAGAGAGAATGACGAGCTCACAATGGCCCTCGGGAATCCTGAGCACCCTGGACGGACACGAGGCACGCCAGGCTCCGTTCCGTGGAAGGTTGGCTTTCCGGACGCAGGGGGTTACAAAACCCAGGAGAGGAGGAAGAAAGTGGAGCATAGCCAACTGGAGGCACTGCACGAAAGGGTACAAGGGCTAGAGGAACGAGAAGCAGATCGCAGCAAACGACCTGCCGAATCTTCCCCTGAAGCTACCCCGCCATCTCAGTGGAGAAGCAGCGTGGCTTCCATCGAGCAGACTCAGCAGCTGGAGCCCGTCTTCACGGCTCCTGCTAGCTACCCCGTGGATGCTATCACAGAGTCTCAACATTGCCACCTTATGATGCGATGGATGACATTGAAAGTCAAGGCGGCTGTTGGCTCTGTTATACCTAATGAACCTGGCGCAACCTACCACGGCCAGCCGATTCCAGAAGGATATGCTAGGGTGATGGTGGATCAAATAACGGACGAATTTGAGGACCTTCAGCTTGACCACCCTACGGGTGAAGGGGAGATTCTGCTTGGTTCTTCTCTGAAGACTCCATGCCTATGGCGGAAGGAGCTCATCAACCTTTCGAACTAGATGCCTCCGCCTCCTCCTCCTCCTCCTCCTCCGGCGAGTCAGGGCAATCCGCCTCCTCTTCCAGCGAGTGATCAGGGCACTCAGCCTCCTTCTCCGGCGCGTGGCGGCACTCCGCCTCCTTCTCCGCCTGCGCCGGCGCACCCGAGCAGCCAGCCTCCTTCTCCGCCTCGTCAACAAGGGTGGATCAAGAGACTCGTCGCCGCTCCGGCTGCTCCGGCGCGTCGTAGTCCTTCTCCTCTGCCTCGTAAGAAAGGAAAGACAGCCGCAGCCGCTCCGTCTGCTCCGGCGTCTAGCAGCACAGCCAGAGCCGAGAGGCAATACAAATTCGGTCCTTCTCTCAAGACTCCAGAGAAGTTACCATACGAGAGGACCGTGGAGGAAAACATGCAGATCGTGCAAGCCGAAGTGAAGAACTTTTTGAAGGGGTGAAAGAAAAGAAACATCCACCTCCGGAGGAGAAGATAGATCCGGTAAAAGTGAAGCGTACTCTGGCTGCCCTGAAGAAGCCGCCAAAGTCTCCGGCGAAAGGCAACTATGAGCGCATTCTTACAAAGTCATTTGTGGAAGCGTCGCGATCGGGAAGTACTATCAGTGGTCAACGACGAGCTGGCAAAAAAGTTGCCCAGCTCGGCGAACAAGCGAACCAATCGTTCCCCCCGCTCCAGGTGTCTAGCGATATCGTCGCTAATGTTCCGGGCGGGATGGTGCCCGGTTATAATAATGTTGAAGATTACCTGCCCGACGATGTACATTATGATTTCTTGGAGGTGGACGAACACAAATACGTGTACGGGAAGCCTCTCGTCAAAGATGAAAGATATCTACAAACAATGATGTTCAGATTCCATGATTGGTACATGAAAACCTGCAGAGAGTCTGAGGGGATGAATATTTTGACGCTGAGAGTCAAAGAGGAGCATGACCTCGTTGGAATTGAACTGTTGAATGTTCCATTTGAGGAGTTCTTCACGTTTTTCAATCTAAAGGCCCTCGATAAATTAATGATCACTTGCTACTGCCTGTAAGTACAGTACTACTTCTATCATTAAGTCTCTATATATAGGTCAGCTCTTTCATTGCATGTATTTTTAATTATCCTCACTATATTAGGCAGATTGAAGATCGCCGAATTGAAGAAACGACAAATCGGTGATATTGGGTTCATTAACACAAATCTCATAGATGCATATATGGTTAAATCTCAGGCCAAAGATACCGAGGCCAAGCTGTTTGTATTAAATCAAAACAAAGCTATAATACTCTTCCCTTATGAATTCAAGTGAGTGTTACTGTCTTGTGCATATTCGGTTTCCCTTATTAGTCGAGGTTATAGTAGTAATGTAATTGATGAGTTATGCATGCGTGCGCAGGTTCCACTATATTCTCCTAGAGATTAAGCTTGAGCAGGGACTAGTAACCATCTTAGACTCGAGACGAAAAGATCCCAAGGAGTATGCGGACATGACTGAAATTCTAGAGAAGTAAGTTAAATCGATCATTATCGCACCATATCGGCAACTTTGTTCATTTCCTGATATCAAGTAATTGTTTCTTTGTCTGCTGGCAGGGTTTGGAAAAAATTCACCTCAAAAACTCCGAGACTGCCGAAGAAGCTGCAATTTAGACACCCAAAAATAAGTACTATAGTAGCATGTTCCACGCATCTCCTAGTGATTCAAGCGCTAGTTTCATCAATACCATTTAGCATGCTTGCTAATTATCAGTTTGATTGACATATATTTCTTGTAAAGTGGTTGTGGCAGGAACAAGGGGATGATTACTGTGGATACTACATTTGCGAGTCCATCCGCCACACGACCTGTGAGCGGGGCTACTCTGACAAACAATATGAAGTGCGTAAATAATAATATTCACAATTTTATTTTATTACCATCATTTGTGTTCAGTTTCATTTATTCATATATATGCATTGACCCCCTTCTTCAAATTAGATATTTCGGATGCGGGATGAACTCCTACCACCAGATCGTATGCGAGGAATTCAAGAGGAATTGGCGGCATTCTTTCTTGACCACGTGATCGCTAAAGACGGAGAATACCATGTGGACCCTGATCAGCTCGTTTTTAATTAGGAGATTATATTGTAAGAGATACTTATATTGTATATATGTAGCTAGTACGTAGCGTCGGATAGATATACGAGAACTTGTTGTTCGACCAATCTCTCAGAGAAGGAGAGGTGGTCGATATCACTTCTCTCTATATGCATATGTTCATGACGAACTTCTGTTTCCTTCATTTGCTTACTAGCTAGCGTGTCTAGTCCTCTCTATACGTATAGTACGTAGCATCGACCAAGCACGGAGATAAGATAGGACACTTCTCTCTATTAATTAGCTAGCTAACACAATATATGAAACACCTAAATTAACCCCCCAAAACCCCCTAACCCCCCCCCCCTTCAAAAAAAAACAAAAAAACCCAGCACCTGAAATGCTGACGCGTGGATGCTATTGGTCTCGGTTGGTGCCACCAACCGGGACCAAAGGGCCTCCTGCCTGGACTCGCCGCACCGGCCACGTGGAGGCCCATCTGTCCCGGTTTATGCAAGAACCGGGACTAAAGGTCTAAGGCATTAATACCGACACTTTAGTCCCGGTTCAAAAACCGGGACAAATGGCCCTTACGAACCGGGACAATAGGTCCTTTTTTTACTAGTGCCCTAATGTGCTTGTCCGAGAGAGGCAACTTGAAAAGTTGCACGTACATCTGCAGCGCCTCGTCCCCAATCGTGCCCCCTTCATGAGCCAAGCAAAGCTTGCGGATAATGATCTACTGCTGCTTGGTGGCCGAAGATGGCCGCCTAGACTTAGCAATCCTGACGCTCCTCCTTGGCGAGCCTGCTGCCTGATATTTCCTCCTGGGGCGACGCGTGCAAGGCGCCCCATCCAACCTCTGCGGCGCCGGCAACAGCGGATTAACAGCACATTGGATGCCATTGCAAAAGGCCACCGCAGTCACTGAGGGATTCGAACGGATGTGCCCACCCTCTATGTCTGCATGGATTCCCGACAGCTGCATGGGGGAGCCAGCCGCATGTGAATGAACCTCGGGATGGGGGAAAGAGGTCTGGCCCCCCACATCTCCCTCGTTAGACAGGCTGATTTGCAGCCAACCAGCGCTGCCTGCCTGATCCTGCCGCGCATCTCCAAAGGCCCGGCCCGGCCCCACAGGTGTGGCCGGCCATGACATGTCGATGTCATCATCATGAGTCCCATCGGTCAGGTCCAAAGCACCAGCCGGGGCCCGCTGGTCATCCAATCCTGCAGGGGGGAAGATCTCCATCTCCCAAATGAGGACCGAGTCCGACTCCTGTTCGCCCTGCGCACCATCATCAGCACACTCCACCATGCTCACTAGCCCATCCAGCGGCTGCCACCTGTTAAGACAAACCGACGTGGGCGACCGGTCCAACCCCTGACCTGCCGGTGCCAACAAAGTGTCCCAAGCCGAGCCACAAGACGACGCCTGCGCCATGCATGCCACCTGTGGTTGGACACCGCTTTTCGCAGGCAGGCCCCCCTGCTCCACCACCGCCACGTGTCGCACCGCCAGAGGCACCACATGCCTTTCCACAACGGGCCTCTCCACCGAGCGTCCCCCACCATCCACCGGATCAGCCCGCGCCAGGGCATCTGACGTAGGCGACGACGGGGCCAGCTCCACGGTTTGAATCCGCGCCTGCCTCGCCGGAGGCGCCGAAGTCGTCAAGGAGCCCGCCGAGCCCGCCGAGCCCGCCGGCGAGTCACCAGAGCGACGCCGGGCACTACCCAAGCCCAAGCAGGGCCCACCAAACCCGCCAAGGCCACCATCCCCCTCCTCCTGAGGAGGCGACGATGGCGAGGGAGGTGGCGGCGGCCCAGCACCCACCGGCACACCGGTAGGTACTATGTGTCACTAGATCATCACCACATGATACTATTCGTCCAGCTAATCTGGCTGTTGCGCTTGACTGTTGACTTGACTCCACGGTGCTTATCTACTGCCATGACCACTAAGCACCCAACTTAATTACATCTGTAGTCTCTTCTGCAGCTGCAAGCTAACCCTCCTCTTCAGAACACCATGCCTCTCCTCCCCATTGTTTTCACCTTGCTCTTCTTCCTACGCACCCCAGCAAGTTCTGCTGCGACGGACACCATCTTGGCCGGCCAAGCACTTGCTATCAACGATAAGCTCGTCTCCAAGAATGGCAGGTACGCACTTGGCTTCTTCAACACAAGCAGCAGCAAATCCTCCCAAGACACCACCAACTGGTACCTTGGCATATGGTTCAATACAGTCCCCAAATTTACTTCAGCATGGGTTTGCAAATAGGGATACGCCAATCAAGAACACCACCTCACTGGAGCTCACAATCTCCCATATGGCAATCTTGTCATCTTAAACCGGTCCACCAGGTCCATAATCTGGAGTACACAAGCAAACATCACAAGAAATAGCACCACTGCTACAATCTTGAGTAGTGGAAATCTGATCCTAACAGACTCTTCAAACTCATCAGAGGTTCTGTGGTAGAGCTTTGATCATCCCACAGATACACTTCTCGCCGGAGCAAAGCTTGGATGGGACAAGCTCACTGGCCTCAACCGTCGTTTAGTTTCTTGGAAGAACTTGAACGATCTAGCTACTGGTGTGTATAGTGATGAGATAGGTCTCTCGTTTAGCCTAAACCAGTTCTATCTAGCCCCACATAACAACTCCATGCCATATTGGTCGACAGGTATATACAATGGCGAAAACTTTTACTCAAATTCAGGGATGTTGACACAAAATCCACTTTTAAGTGCAACAGTTGTTGGCACTGACCAAGAGATGTACTGGACATATAATTTAGTAAAAGAAGACATCATTACTCGAAATATTATTGACAGCTCAGGTAAAGTTAAGATGTTCTTTTGGTCCAAGCAGGCACAAGATTGGCAAGTGGTCTATGCCCAACCACGAGCTCTGTGTGATGTCTATGCAATCTGTGGACCTTTCACAATTTGCATTGATAATGAGCTTCCATATTGCAATTGTATGGAGGGCTTCACCATAACATCCCCCGTGGACTGGGAGCTAGAAGATTTAACCGATGGCTGCTCGAGAATTACTCCGTTAGAATGCATTAGCAATAAAAGGACAACTCATACCACAGACAAGTTCTACTTGGTGCCATGTGTTATACCTCAGACTGCCCCAAAAGTAGAAGCTGCTATAAGCGCGAGTGAATGTGCACAAGTTTGCCAGAATGATTGCTCTTGCACCGCCTATTCCTTCAGTGATGGCAGATGTTCTATCTGGCATAATGAATTGCTCAACATAAGAGCACTAGAATGTAGTGGTACTTCAAGTTCAACTGGGGAAACTCTTCACCTTCGCATTTCTGCAAAAGATTTCTCCAGATTGAAAAACAACAGAAAGGAGATTGTTACTGGAGTTGCAACATGCGTTTCTGCTCTAGGTTTATTTGCACTTGTTCTCCTGGTAAAGATTTGGAGAAACAGAAGTAAGAGCTCTAGCCATATACTGGATGATGTTCAAGGTTGTGATAGAATCATTGTATTCAGTTACGCTGATTTACAGCGTGCCACAACAAAATTCACACATAAGTTGGGGGCAGGCAGTTTTGGGTCAGACCGATTCAGCAAATCTAGTGACCGTTAGGATTTCGATGGGACCGACATGCAACTCGGTAGGACCGATATGGTTAGGGTTAGGGGATAACGTAATCTCGGTGAGACCGATTACACAAACTCGGTGGGACCGATTTTGGTAATAAGCTAATTAGAGAGTTGGTTAGGCAAACTCGGTAGGACCGATTACACAAACTCGGTGGGACCGATTTTGGTAACAAGCTAACTAGAGAGTTTGCATTGTAATCTCGGTAGTACCAATTGCTCAAACTCGGTGAGACCGATTTTGGTAATGGACATACACAGAGAGATTACAATCCCATCTCGGTGAGACCGAGATCCCTATCGGTGAGACCGATTTACCTAGGTTTTGTGGCAGTGGCTAAGACATCTGAACTCGCTGGTGCCGGATGGAAAGAATCGGTAGGGCCGAGTTAGACTTTTGGTTTAGGACATATGTGGATGTGAGAAAGTAGTTGAGGGCTTTGGAGCATATCACTAAGCATTTTGAGCAAGTAAGCCATTAAGCAACACCATGCCTCTCCTCCCCATTGTTTTCACCTTGCTCTTCTTCCTACGCACTCCAGCAAGTTCTGCTGCGACGGACACCATCTTGGCCGGCCAAGCACTTGCTATCAACGATAAGCTCGTCTCCAAGAATGGCATGTACGCGCTTGGCTTCTTCAACACAAGCAGCAGCAAATCCTCCCAAGATACCACCAACTGGTACCTTGGCATATGGTTCAATACAGTCCCCAAATTTACTTCAGCATGGGTTGCAAATAGGGATACGCCAATCAAGAACACCACCTCACTGGAGCTCACAATCTCCCACGATGGCAATCTTGTCATCTTAAACCGGTCCACCAGGTCCATAATCTGGAGTACACAAGCAAACATCACAAGAAATAGCACCACTGCTACACTCTTGAGTAGTGGAAATCTGATCCTAACAGACTCTTCAAACTCATCAGAGGTTCTGTGGCAGAGCTTTGATCATCCCACAGATACACTTCTCGCCGGAGCAAAGCTTGGATGGGACAAGCTCACTGGCCTCAACCGTCGTTTAGTTTCTTGGAAGAACTTGAACGACCTAGCTACTGGTGTGTATAGTGATGAGATAGGTCTCTCGTTTAGCCTAAACCAGTTCTATCTAGCCCCACATAACAACTCCATGCCATATTGGTCGACAGGTATATACAATGGCGAAAACTTTTACTCAAATTCAGGGATGTTGACACAAAATCCACTTTTAAGTGCAACAGTTGTTGGCACTGACCAAGAGATGTACTGGACATATAATTTAGTAAAAGAAGACATCATTACTCGAAATATTATTGACAGCTCAGGTAAAGTTAAGATGTTCTTTTGGTCCAAGCAGGCACGGGATTGGCAAGTGGTCTATGCCCAACCACGAGCTCTGTGTGATGTCTATGCAATCTGTGGACCTTTCACAATTTGCATTGATAATGAGCTTCCATATTGCAATTGTATGGAGGGCTTCACCATAACATCCCCCGTGGACTGGGAGCTAGAAGATCGAACCGATGGCTGCTCGAGAATTACTCCGTTAGAATGCATTAGCAATAAAAGCACAACTCATACCACAGACAAGTTCTACTTGGTGTCATGTGTTATACCTCAGACTGCCCCAAAAGTAGAAGCTGCTATAAGCGCGAGTGAATGTGCACAAGTTTGCCAGAATGATTGCTCTTGCACCGCCTATTCCTTCAGTGACGACAGATGTTCTATCTGGCATAATGAATTGCTCAACATAAGAGCACTAGAATGTAGTGGTACTTCAAGTTCAACTGGGGAAACTCTTTACCTTCGCGTTTCTGCAAAAGATTTCCCCAGATTGAAAAACAACAGAAAGGAGATTGTTACTGGAGTTGCAACATGCATTTCTGCTCTAGGTTTATTTGCACTTGTTCTCCTGGTAAAGATTTGGAGAAACAGAAGTAAGAGCTCTAGCCATATACTGGATGATGTTCAAGGTTGTGATAGAATCATTGTATTCAGTTACGCTGATTTACAGCGTGCCACAACAAAATTCACACATAAGTTGGGGGCAGGCAGTTTTGGGTCTGTATTCAAGGGGTTTTGAAACGAATCGATAGTTATAGCGGTGAAAAGGCTTGACGGTGCTTACAAAGGAGAGAAGCAATTCAGAGCTGAAGTGAGCTCGATTGGAGCTGTCCAACACATCAATTTAGTTAAGCTTGTTGGTTTTTGTTGTGAGGGTTCTAAGAGGTTGCTTGTTTATGAACACATGCCAAATCACTCACTTGATGTGCATCTATTTAGAAACAACTCTACAGTGTTGAATTGGAATGTTAGGTATCACATAGCCCTGGGAGTTGCGAGAGGGTTAGCATACTTTCATGAGAGCTGTCGAGACTGCATCATTCACTGTGATATCAAGCCAGAAAACATACTTCTTGATGCTCCATTCGTTCCAAAAGTTGCAGAGTTTGGGATGGCAAAGCTTTTCAGAAGGGATTATAGCCGAGTACTGACTACAGTAAGAGGAACTGTAGGATACCTTGCACCTGAATGGATTACTGGAGTTGCTATTACACCAAAAGTGGATGTTTATAGCTATGGTATGGTGTTGCTGGAAATTATATCTGGAAAGAGGAACTCAAGTGCATCATATTCTAGCGGTGGCGACCTTGATGTTTATTTCCCTGTTCATGCAGCACACAAGCTTCTTGAAGGAGACGTTGGGAGTTTGGTCGATCAAAAGCTACATGGTGATGTCAATCTGGATGAGGCTGAGCTGGCTTGCAAGGTTGCATGTTGGTGCATTCAAGACAACGAGCTTGATCGACCAACAATGGGACAGGTAGTTCAGATTCTTCAAGGGCTAGTTGAGATCAGGATGCCCCGGATACGAAGACACCTCGAAGCCATGGCTTAAAGCTCGCATTCAACGTGATCCCAATCCTTCTGTATATGGGGAACAAGATGGGTTGCATGTCGAGATGTTATAAGACAAATGTGTATATCTGACACGTTTGAAGCTATAGACATGGTATTTACTAAACAAATGTAGTGCCTATGAATCTATGATTGGAGATGCAGTTGCATTCCATATACTCCCTCCGTTCCAAAATAGATGACCCAACTTTGTACTAAAGTTAGTACAAAGTTGGGTCATCTATTTTGGAACGGAGGGAGTATATATTAATAAAGTTGTAATGGCTTGCATGTACAGAAACTCACCTGAGCATGTGAGACCCGGTTGCTGACAGTTTTTGCCGGCGTGAGGGAGACGGCGACGATGTAAATCCCGGGCGCTGGAAACTGCAAAATTAAATGAGGAGAAAGTTAGATAGAGTCCAATGACAGTGTGACGAGAATGGAAATCGCCGGGGCTCAACCCCGACCTCGCCTCCGGGGCATCCACTCGAGCGAGTGCCTGTGCGGTGAGGGCGGACGGGGCGGACGAGGCACTCGAGCGCGCTGGACGGAGTAGGACCGCGGCAGGTCTGGGCGACGCGACGCATAGGAAGCCGCAGGATCCCATTGCGCGGTGACACTGGTGGTTACGGCGGCGCTGGTTCGGTGGGGCGGCGGGGCGCTACAGAGGAGCCGGAGGTCAGGGGAAGGCCTGACGAGCGGGACCCGGTGGCTGTGGGGCATCCTCCTCGAACGGTATTTACTGTTTTTTTAGTCAGGAGACATTTTATTGTTATAAATGGGAAACAGCAGAAACACAGCCATGCTGAAGGCAATTAGTAAGGGCGATCAAGGTCGTTGTCTTGTTTGCAAGGAACACAGCCATGTTTGCAAGGAAGCTCTTTCACTTCACGAGGCAAATGCTCCTGGAGAACATTGGATTGGTACAGCACTGCTCTTCTGAATATTCGCCTCAAGACCAGATGCAGCCCCACACAGATGTAAAATATCCTTGATCAGCTCCAAATCTGAAGCCCGACGTTCTGCAGTCATTTGTTTTTGCACCGAATAGAATGCTTGTCATGGTGTCCCATTGTCTCTCCTCGTTTCTCTTCTGCCACTGTGGCATTTTGGCATGCCTAAAATCTCTTTGTGTTTGCTATACTTTCGGCTCCAGCGGCCTGTATCTGCTATCTCTACTCCTTCATGAGCGGCACGGCTCCGGCCACACAAGCTGAGCACGTGACCCATTCTCCCCGTCTCCTTATCTTCTCTTCTCGAGGATTTGTCAAGTTGTGAAATTCCTGCTCCAGATTCAAACCACAGCTCAGGAACACCAAAAAAAAACAAGTTGATTTGTACTGGACTTACTGAGCATATAACCATTAAAAAAAGGGCCAATATATCTAACGAGGCATAATCCACAGCCTAGTTTGAATTAACTACTATTCAACTTAGTGATTTGTAAAAAGATAATGTCTTGGGCTACAGTTTAAAATGGAGAAAAATATATATTGTGTTCATAATTATGGGGGAAAGAAAACATAACTTTTAATGTGTAATTTCAAGGTCAGTGCAACGGTTGCACCGCATGGGCGACGGCACAAGACACATTCTCAAAACAAGGAAGCGAAAAAAAACATGGATTTTTAATGTCATTATTCCCACAGCACTGAAAAGATATTTGGTTGCTCAAACAAAAAATATAGGAATATTTCAAAGAGGTTGCGGCCAATTAACAACAACAAAAATGTAACATTGTGCAAATGGATTCATACTAAACTAATTCAATAGACTGCAATCCTACAAATGAAAAAGTTCATGTAGAAAAAATTACTAGATTTCTTTGGACGGAGAGACGCTACTGACGATGTGTACAACGCTTTCTTTTTAGATCATCAGGGTCGAGCTGCAGCCAATACAGGAAAGGAAACAACTGAAGTTAGTGAGATTACATAGTGAAACACATATAAAGAAGTAAAAGCAATCAGATCAGAGTTGTAGTGTTGTCAGAAGTACTAGATTATTTGTTGTAACTAAAGATGCCATGGCTGCTGCCCTCTTAAATACATGAAAGAATACAAACAGTTGTGGCCAAAACAAAACTTTACAGCAAAGTGTATAATAGAACCAAAAACTTTACATGATTTGTATCAACTGAGGTTTATTTGCTTAAAAATATGGCACCTTCAGATCAAGCTAGCGCCTGAAGTGTCCTCATACTTGTCATGTTGTGATAGCGAATACTTTGATCATGCCCACACATGTCTCTTTCCTCTCCACTCTCCAGTCTCCACCATGGAAACCCAGTCCAAAGCAAGTTTTTCACTGCTGTCAAAGCAAAAAGGAGTCCAGAATAAGACTGTTGATGCTACACAGTTTTCCACCGGTTTGTATGGTTGTCATGAACTCTTGACTTTTGGCTCCACCGTGCCTTTTACTGCTATGACCAGACAATTGAGGCTTGAGCACTTACATCTGTAGTATCTGCATCCTCCGGTTTGCCATCCTCTTCAGTTCATCATGCATCTCCTCATAGATTTCACCTTGCTCCTCTTCCTGTGCACCCAAGCAAATTCTGCCGCAACAGACACCATCTTGGCCGGTCAAGCACTTACTGTCAACGACAAGCTCGTCTCCAAAAATGGCAGGTACGCGCTTGGCTTCTTCAACACAAGCAGCAGCAAACCGTGCCAAGACACCACCAACTGGTACCTTGGCATATGGTTCAATACAGTCCCCAAATTTACTTCTGCATGGGTCGCAAATAGGGATACACCAATCAAGAACACCACCTCACCGGAGCTCACAATCTCCCATGATGGCAACCTTGTCATCTTAAACCGGTTTACCAGGTCCATAATCTGGAGTACACAAGCAAACATCACAAGAAATAGCACCACTGCTATGCTCTTGAGTAGTGGAAATCTGATCCTAACAGACTCTTCAAACTCATCAGAGGTTCTGTGGCAGAGCTTTGATCACCCCACAGATACAGTTTTCCCTGGTGCAAAGCTTGGATGGGACAAGCTCACTGGCCTAAACCGCCGTCTAGTTTCTTGGAAGAACTTGAACGACCCAAGTACTGGTATGTACTGTGATGGGTTAGACCAGAGTGGTCTCAATCAGTTCTTGCTTACACCATTGAACTCCTCCATACCATATTGGTCGACCGGTGTATGGAATGGCAAATACTTTGCCTCAATACCAGAGATGTCAAACAACAACCCAGTTTTCACCAGTACATTTGTCACCAATGACCAAGAGAAGTATTTTATTGATAACATAGTCGATAAATCTATGGTTACTCGTGGTGTAATTGACGTCTCAGGTCAAAGAAAAACGTTCATTTGGTTGGAGGGCTCACAGGACTGGACAATGATCTATGCCCAACCGAAACTTCAGTGTGATGTCTATGCAATCTGTGGACCTTTCACAATTTGCAATGATAACGCGCTTCCACATTGCAATTGCATGGAGGGCTTCACCATAACATCCCCCAAGGATTGGGAGCTAGAAGATCGAACTGGTGGGTGCTCAAGAAATACTCCGTTAGACTGCATTAGCAACAAAAGCACAACTCATACAACAGACAAGTTCTACTCTGTGCAATGTGTTGAGTTGCCCAACAATGCCTCAAAACTAGAAGCTGCTGCAAGCATGAGTGAGTGTGCACAAGTTTGCCTCAGTAATTGCTCTTGCACCGCGTATTCCTTCAACGATGAAAGATGCTCTATCTGGCATAATGAATTGCTCAATATAAGAGCGCTAGAATGTAGTGGCACTTCAAGTTCAACTGGAGAAACTCTTCACCTTCGTGTTTCTGCTAAAGATTTCCACATAGTGAAAAACAACAGAAAGGAGATTGTTATTGGAGTTGCAACTGGTGCAGGTGTTTCTGCTCTGGGTTTATGTGCACTTCTTATCCTGGTAAAGATTTGGAGAAACAAGAGTAAGAGCTCTAACCGTATACTGGATGGTGTTCAAGGCTGTAACAGAATCATTGCATTTAGATACACTGATTTACAATGTGCCACGACAAAATTCACAGATAAGTTAGGGGCAGGCAGTTTTGGTTCTGTTTTCAAGGGGGTTTTAAATGACTCAACTGGCATAGCCGTGAACAGGCTTGACGGTGCTTATCAAGGAGAGAAGCAATTTAGAGCTGAAGTGAGCTCGATTGGAGCTATCCAGCACATCAATCTAGTTAAGCTTATTGGTTTCTGTTGTGAGGGTTCTAAGAGGTTGCTTGTTTATGAACACATGCCAAATCGCTCACTGGATGTCCATCTATTTGGAAACAAGTCTATGATATTGAATTGGACAGTTAGGTATCAGATGGCCCTGGGAGTTGCCAGAGGGTTAGCCTACTTGCATGAGAGTTGTCGGGACTGCATCATACACTGTGATATTAAGCCAGAAAACATACTTCTCGATACTTTATTCGTTCCCAAAATTGCAGACTTTGGGATGGCAAAGCTTTTCAGAAGGGATTATAGCCGAGTACTGACTACGATAAGAGGAACTGTAGGGTACCTTGCACCTGAATGGATTACTGGAGTTGCAATTACACCAAAAGTTGATGTATATAGCTATGGGATGATGTTGCTGGAAATAATATCTGGAAAGAGGAACTCATGTGCACCATGTTCTAGTGGTGGCAACCTTGATGTTTATTTTCCTGTGCATGCCGCACATAAGCTTCTTGAAGGAGACGTCGGGAGTTTGGTAGATCAAATGCTACATGGTGATGTCAATCTGGATGAGGCCGAACTGGCATGCAAGGTTGCATGTTGGTGCATCCAAGACAATGAGCTTGATCGACCAACAATGGGACATGTAGTTCAGATCCTCGAAGGGCTAGTTGAGATCGGGATGCCCCCGTTACCAAGACTGCTCGAAGCTATGACTGGAAGCTCGCACTCAGCTCGGTCCTAATCCTTTTGTTTAAGGGTAACTGGATGGATTTCATGTCCAGATGTTACTCCCTCCGTCCGGAAATACTTGTCATCAAAATGGATAAAAGGGGATGTATGTAGATGTATTTTAGTTCTAGATACATCTCTTTTTATCCATTTTGATGACAAGTATTTTCGGACGGAGGGAGTACAAGACAGATACGTACTTACACAAATGTAGTGTGCCTATGATTGGAGATGCAGCAACAATCTGGTAGTTTGAATAAAGTTGTAATGGGTTTGTGCCTATAGATATATGTATTCCATATAATAAAGTTGTAATGGTTTGAATGGTGTACGTACTACTCCCTCCGTTCGGAATTACTTGTCACAAAAATGGATAAAAATGGATGCATCTACAACTAAAATACATCTAGATACATTCATTTCTTGGACGAGTAATTCCGAATGGAGGGAGTAGTATATAATAAAACTATAGATGTATGTACAATCGTACTTGCATTGTCTAGATCCATATCCAAATAGGCACCACCAATCTGGTAGTTCCATCCTTGATTGCAATGATTGGTGATGAAAAGCTAGATTGCACGAAAGTGGCAACAGGGTCGACAAGGAATGGGAGAGGTCCACGTTATACTAGTGAGTGAAGAGGCTGCACAGAAACTTACCTGAGCACGCTGGACGCGGGAGCGGCAGTATCTGCCGGAGTCGGGGAAGACAGCCACGATCTTGATGTCCGGTGCTGGAAGCTGTAAAATCAAACGAGGGGGAAATTAGATGGGGGCTAATGGCGCGCTGTGACGCGAATGGAAATCGACGGGGCTCGCCGCTCAGGGAGATCGGCGAAGTGCGCCACGGCGGCGCGGGGCGGGCTCCATTCCGAGCTGGTCCCCGAGCTGGGGGTTGCTCTGTCTCTGCCGTCGTGAAGGGAGGTAGTTAGGTCGACGCGACGCGGGCGGGAGTGGGCCTGCTGCAGGTCCGCGCGACGCGGCGCCGAAGAGGGTCGGGTTCTCGCGCGGTGGTGCTGGCTTGGCCGACGCGTGGTCACTACGGCGCCATGGGACGGGTGGAAGGAAGGGTGGTCTCTTTTCTGGCAAAATCCTGTGTGCAGTAGTTTTTGGTGTCGCTCCGACGATGGCATCTCGAACAAAATTCCCCCAGTTCCATTTATTTCTTGATCACGAGGGATGGTGCTATTTTAGGAATGCCATATAAGATAAATAATGAGGTGGAGGAGAGAGAACTCTTAAGAAGTCTTGTCTTCTCTTATTTAAGATAAGACAATAGATGATCTCTTAGCACAATATGTGTCACCACGTTTTTAGGAATGTCTAATTATTGAAGATAAGGCTAAGAGATGATCTATTATAGACATATTTTTTTATCATCTCTAAATTACATGTAAAACGTAAGATAAAACTGTTTTATCAACCATTGTACATGCCCTTGGCGTTACCGCCTTACCGGGAGCCTGGATTTTTATAGGGAAAAAACTATGTTTTAGCCACTTCAGATTTTTGCCAACTTTGCTTATGCCACATTTCAGTCTTGTCATTCTTAGCTTTTGACAATGTATCACAAATGTCATTTTGTGGCAAAAATAAATAAATTTATTTCACTTTTGTCACTCTTAGCTTTTGACAATATATCACAATTGCCACTCTGAAATCTAAGTGGCAAAATTAAAATGTCAAATTGTAGAGGGGTACGAAAATTTTGTTTTTGTCACTCTAGATTTTGCCCACTCTGCTTATGCCATTCTAGAATTTGGTTTTGGTTTTGGGGATTTTTGCTGGCTCTGTGTGAAACCGTGAATCACTCATGGCAATATCATTCTCTTCAACACCCTCTTCTTCCGAGCCACTTCGAGCAAGGTTGGTGTTGTAGTTTGCCAGCGATATGCTCGTCTCGATAGTCGGTCCCTATTGTATCCACTATAATATTGTGACGATTCAATGAGGTTTCCCCTCTATTGAACTGTGCAGATACTTCAATGGCCAGATTTATCGATGTTGTCCATACATATGTGATGGTTCAACAGTTACAAGTTCAATTGTGGTTTTGGGAGGAAGTTGTAGATTTATAGTCGTAGTTATAAGGTCATCTCTAGCAGATCCAGTAAAATTTGGTACTGCAAAATTGTTTTAGAGGGAGCGCAAAGGTTCCGGCAGAACAGATCCAGTTAAATTCATACTGCAAATTTAAAAACCAGTTCATGCTACAAATAGTTCATCACACCATCATAGTTCGTACATAGGTAGAACTTCTCCATGGACTTGACGAGGGCGTGCTCGTCCTTTGCAGCGGCGAGACAGTCGCCGATGCCTTCTTGTCGGGCCGCCATCCCACGCTCCGCAGCGAGGAGCTCCACATCCTGCTTCGTTGTGCCTCCGGATGTGCGGGAAAAGGGCGTTGTGGAGCTCGTTGAAACCAGCCCAAAGAGCTCGTCTGCCGTCGTGTGGGAGCTGGTCGCGGTCGCAAGCTTGTTTGGAGTGCCATGGCTTGACAGTGGGCCGGATCGATGGATGTGCTGGCCTCCGTGTCGTGGTGTCCGAGCTTGCGCGGCAGCGACCCGCCAAGGCCGTCAGCAGCACCTGCCATTAAGGAGAAGAAAAGAAGCCAGAGAAGAGGCGAGATTTGAAGTCAGAGTTGGGGCGTGGTAGCAGCGGCCCGGGGGGGGGGGGTGCATCGGAGGGGATAAGGTCTGCGTCCGGTAAAAGGGAGCGAAGTCGTAGATATAGCGTCGGGCCGGGCTAAGTTTAGCGGACCTGTTCGGGCAAAAAACAAAATGCTCCATCCGATAAGACGGCTGAAATTTTGCACGGATCTGCTAGAGATGCTCTAATCTACTATATGTTTAGGGTCGGTTTGTGTACATGGGTCTGATTCTATCTGATTATCTATTATCTAATATAAACCTGATTTAATTTAAAAAAGTGTAAGTACCATTGTTTCAGTGTAATAACATCAACCTCCTATGCAATGGATGGTAGGCTTAGTGCCTAGTTGCTGTGAATGGATGAGGAACAAAAAGAACTATTCTTGAGCCAAATAATTATTTGAATATTGACTAGTTTAGGTGTATTTGATTCGAATATCTAGTTCCATAGTGTTTAGGGCACACAATGAAAACAATTGAACTTTGAGTACACTTGCAAGGCATTTCACAAAACATTGGGTCTCAAATTTAGATAGATAAATGATTTTCGACTTCACATTAAATAATTTTCTTAAACTCCTACAATCTACTGAAATACCATTAGGCAAAACTCATATAGTCCTCCAATATCTATGATCTTCATTATGATAATGAGCCCACTTGCAGTGTGGTAAACTACAACTCTGTTGCAATGCCAGACAACTAGCAAAGTCGATGGATCAAAAAAGAACGCCTATTGTATCATTTTCTACCTCCCATGACATTATACCCCTCTGTAAGTGCATCTAGTGCCACCCCTGGTTGGTTTTGGAGTATTGACGACAAAGTTGGTTGAGAGACTAATGTGTTTGTGAGAATTACAGGATAACGCAACTGGAACTGGTCCAACAAATCCTGTGTCTTCAACGAGCAACTGGTTCTATCCTTTCCCATCCTTTACATTGAGTTCGTCTTCGTGAAGTCATTGCCTATCTGTCGTACCTGTTTGACTTCATTGCTTGTCTACTATCGTTGATTGGCTTCATACTATCTTCCATCCTGATCCTTACTACTTAGCTGCTATTAGGCCTGTACCCTCACATCATTGCATACTTGACTATGGTTTGCTTATGGTAGTTTATCTTCCGCTGCATATCAACTAGGTCATTTCTATTGCTTGTCTTCGAAACTTCCAAGTTTTGAAGACTGTCATAAAAATCGCCTATTCACCCCCCCCCCCTAGTCGATACTAGCACTTTCACCCTCGCTTAATCATCCGCCCTCAAGGAGCAAATCGACACAAAATGACTCAAAGCAAACTGAAATGCAAAAGAGGTCTTGCGCCTCACGGAAGCAAAGAAAAAAGGCAAATAAATCATAGTATGCCCTACAAAGAAAACAACCAGAAATTTGATGCATCACACTTGTTGGGGGAGAAGAACACATAATGCGGCCGACCGCTATCACATGGGAGGAAGAACATGGTGGTAAGATCCCCTTGACTTGATATGGGTCTATGGTCATAGAGTACTCTTGCAAGGGAGCGAGAGTGGAAGATCGGATTGCATTGTAATGAACTAGATGATGCCTCGGCGCGTTGTTGCTGAATATTAATTTCCAAAGTAACATCGACATCAAAGAAGAATTTTCTAATGACCTTAAACATTTAGAATTGTGCCAAAATTTCAAGCATCTTGCACCACAACACTGCATTCTCGCAAGCAAACAAAAGACAAATATCCAAAGTGGTAAACAGAAGCAAGATCTTGTCCATTGCTGTGAAACAATACAACAAAAGGCAGAGATCCAAAATAGTTAACAGAAGCAAGAATTATCGATGGGAACTTGTCAATGATCGAGGGGATTGTGATGGGTCGCGGGCAACATCGATGGCATGTATGAGTCCCGGCCTAGGATGTTTTCTACCTCTAAATAATAATTGCAAGAGCAAACAGTATGAAAAGATGGCATGCATACAATTCTAATTCAGCAACTTAGTAATTGAGTGTATGACTAAAACAAACTTTATTGACCACTTAGGTATGCTGAATGGCAGTAAAGTTCTGTCTGTAACTTAAAGATGGGCAGGAATTCTTTAATATTTGTATGAGAAGTAAGTGGATCCACACCATTTGTTTAGTTTGCAGCCGTGACCAGCAAAGTAGCAATTAGATCGTACCCCCGCCATTTCTTTTTAGTCTGCATATAAGATTTGGTCAAAGTCAAACTTTGTAAAGTTTGACCAACTTTGTAGAAAAAATATTGACATCTAAAACACTAAAGCTATATGGTATGAAAATTAATTTCATGATGCATCTAACAAAATTGATTTCATATTGTGAATCTCGATATTTTTTCTATAAACTTAGTCAAAGTTAACA